GAACCTGTTATCCATCTTTTTTTTTTTTTAATATTTTTTAGTTGTAGATGTACACCTTTATTTATTTATTTTTCTGTGGTGCTAAGGATCAAACCCAGTACCTCATACCATTAAGCCACAATCGCAGCCCAAATTGTTCATCTTTGATAAAAAGTAAATATACAAACTAAATAAATCACTGTCTTGTTTCTGGATTCAAGGGGAACATACTTTGTTAATTCTTGAGTAAGGCACCTTTTGGGAAAAATTATTTAACAGATTGCTAGAAAGACCATGTCCTAGGGGAAATTTCTTTCAGCCTTCTTTAAAAGTTGAGGACTTAATATTAATTTCAGTAAAAGTGATTGGTGAAGAAATAGATGAAATGATCTGACAGTTTTATGATGATCTGATTTAATAAATCGAATTGTTAGAGAATCTAGAAAAGTGGTTAGTTGAAAGCATATGTATTAAGTCTTTGAAGTGTATTGCTCAGTGTTTTTTTGAGTAATACTTTAAATGTTTACAGTATGGATTTTTAAAAGGAGGATCTTGGAAGAAAGCGCTCTCTTCAGATTGTTGGATGTCCGTACCCCTCCATCGTCCTGTCCTGGGGATTGAACCCAGGATTTCAAGTATGATAGTCAAGTGCTCTACCACTACTGAAAATGTTTGTGGAATCTAAATTGTATTTCGCCACCCCACCCCTCAAAATGCAAGCAAAGTCTTGGTCTGCTAGAATGTAGGCTAGCGCTTGATTGAAATTCAGGGCCTTCCTTTGTTACACAAAATGAAAGAAATAATGTGTTGTCAGCTATAAAACAATCTGATGCCTCTTCCTTACCTAGTAATATAGAGTGTGCCTCCAAATGGTTGAGCGAATGATATTTGACTATGAGTCATTTAAATGAAGAAGGCCTACCAAAGAAAAGGATTTTTTTTTTTTTTTTTTTTAAAGAGAGAGGGAGAGAGAGAGAGACAGAATTTTAATATTTATTTTTTTAGTTCTCGGCGGACACAACATCTTTGTTTGTATGTGGTGCTAAGGATCGAACCCGGGCCGCACGCATGCCAGGCAAGCGCGCTACCGCTTGAGCCACATCCCCAGCCCGGGATTTTTTTTTTTTAAATTAGCTATTGATCGGGCTGGGGATGTGGCTCAAGTGGTAGCGCGCTCGCCTGGCATGCGTGCGGCCCGGGTTCGATCCTCAGCACCACATACAAACAAAGATGTTGTGTCCGCCGATAACTAAAAAATAAATATTAAAAAATTCTCTCTCTCTCTCTCCCACTCTCTCTTTAAAAAAAAAATAAAATAAAATTAGTTATTGATGGATCTTTATTTATTTGTATGTGGTGCTGAGAATCGTACCTAGTGCCTCATGCATGTTAGGCAAGTGTGCTACCACTGAGCCACAACCCCAACCCCAAAGAAAAGGATTTTTAATAATGGCTAATTCTTGTTGAGAAAATTGTGTGTGCTCCAAAAGCTTTGAGTGCTATGTTTTTATGAAACAGATATATATTGTTTTTGTTCAGGGGGTTATCAACTTTTCATAAGGTAACATAGAATCTAAATATGGGTTTTCCTGTTCAGACTTTTGCATTACTGAGTCTTGTATTTATTTGTCTATTTTAATGTATTCTTAACAAATAACTAGTCTTTGCCAGATATTGGATATATGAAAAAAATAGAATACCAACAAAAAAGACAGGGTTTGTGTTCTTAGATCTTATTTTCTAGAGAGAGAGGGCAGGAATGGATCTCAGATGGGTCCTGTAAGAAATTCTGGAAAATTGATCTTTACTTTACCTGGCTTGTAAAGCCATAGAAAGCTTTGTTATTTTGTACCCAATGAATATACTGGCATATAGGTACATTTTCTAAAATAGTTAGGAATATAGTATATTAAAGTATAGTAAAAAGTATATACAATTATATTAAAATTCCTTGTTTGATATAGTTTAATGGGTAGTGTAAGATCTTAAGTATCTTAGCTTAAGAGTTCTTAGAAAGTATCTGACAGAATATAATCTTAGGCAATATCATTAGCAGGTGGATCCCTTTACAGGAAATTAAAGGGCGAAGGATGGTTTTACTTGTACTAGAATTGATTCTAATTTGCACAGTAAATGCTATGTATTTACCCCTTGGTAAACTTAAATTGCTTTTAAGAAACTTAACACCCTTTGTTGATTGGTATCAGTTACCATCACCCTTGTGGCAGTCCTTTTTAAAACAAATGAAGTATTAATCATACAAGTAAATGTCAGATTACTGCAGTGAATGCTTCAAAAGTAAGTGGCAGGGCAGTGAGCCCATAAAGAGGAGAGTCTTGTCTTAATCTTATTGGAGAGATAGGAGACCCTTTCCTCATTAGATGATGCTTTAAGAAATGTTCCAGTGCAAGGCCATCAGTAGAGCCAAAGCAATAACAGAGGTCCTTGGTCATTGGTTCTTTGCATTCATGCTGTAGAGATTTTCAGACAGGTTGCATATAGTTGCAGGCAGGAGTTTATTACTAGGGAAAGGAAAAGGAAAGAAGGAACACTCTTAAGGGAAAAAGGGAGAGAGTGGGTCCTCACAGAAAAGAGGCCCCTCCTGCCCTCCTGTTTTACTGGGGGGTTCCAGGGAAGTTTTCAGAGTCCCACCAAGGTCCACCCCTTGACTTTTGAGTGGCAGCAGGATTGAATAAGACTTTGAAGTCCCACTGCACATGGTCTTACCCCTACCCCATGGAGGGGAGATTTACTGTTATAATGACATACTAAATATCTAAGGCAACTCTTGAGTCACCTTGGCCATGCTTACTGATTTTGATTGGAACTTGGTTCTACAGGTTTTATGATTGGGGGCTTTGCTTCTAATTATTCTGTCTGCCTGAGTCCTGTAATCTGGTCTGTGTAAAGGTTACACAGGTACCCCTTTCAGAATAATGTGTGTTCTCATCATCAGGGAGGAGTCTTTCTTCTGCAGATAGAAGGTTGTTTGTTGAGAAATGTAGCGTATCCTGTTGGCTTAAGCTACGCAGCGCCAGAGTTTTCTCAAGTAAATTGTTAAAGAAAGCATGTGAGGGTCATTACATAAGTTCATTCTATAGAATTTTCCCCTTAACCTTATGTTTTCATCACTTGTCTGTCTGCTACCTGTCTGGGGAAGCCATGGTGACATGTGTCTAAATAGAGGGAACAAGCCTCTTGATTTGGGGCCCAGGGAACTCAACCTTGGAGGTGGGGGAGATCATTTGTTCCAGGAGCAGGGAAGGGCCAATGAGCATGGTATAAATGAGGCTGGAAATAGACACAGGAGTTGGACCAGGCAGGGCCTTATATATGCAGACTTTTTTTTTTTTTTTTAAATCATGTATCTGAAGAGAAGTGATTGACCATATTAAGGGGTGTTGGGAGTAGTTTTGAGTGTCAGTCATCTGATCAAGATAGTTTTTAAAAGAGTTGTAAATGTGGTGACAACACATCCATTTAGGTGTTGTCCAGGTGGGTGATGAAGGTAACTTGGACTGTTGTCATGGAGGTGGTGACCAGGGGAGGAAGAGGAGACAAATTATGGGGAAAACAACAGATTCCACATATAAAAGAGGTGAAAGTGAATAGAATTTGAAGTCTGTTCAAGTGTGTTTTGCAGTGTTTTAATGGTAAAGCCGTTTCCAGGCTTCTAAATTATTATGCCAGTTATAGTTAAAAATGTTAGCATCACTGTGTACAATGAAAAAAAAATTTTTTTGAGTGGAAATTAAACTCAGGGATGCTTTACCACTGAGCTACATTCCAGTCCTTTTTTAAATTTTGAGACAGGATCTCGCCTGCCTCAGCATCAAGAGGCACTGGGGATTCTAGGCATGCTCCACTCCGCCAGATTCAAAGTTTTAATCAGTATTCATTTATTCATAGTTACTTGTTGCCTAATTTCTCTAACATGTCTTTAACTGCTTTCTTTCTAAGCACTATTTTTACCCTTTGCTTATGTAAGAAATTTCAAAATAAAGATTTTTTGGAGGGAGGATTCTTGTTAAACTTTAGATCCCCTGATTAAAAAGAAATGGTATACTATAAAATCAACCAATTTGAAGTGTACAATTCAATGGTTTTGCTATATTCACAAAGTTGTGCAAACATTACCACAATTAACTTTAAAATATTTCTTCACTTCCAAAGAAACTCTTATCATTAATTCATCATTTTTCTTGTTTAACTTAGCAAAATGTTTCTAAGCTTCATACATTTTGTAGCATTTATCAGTGTTCCCTTTTTTAAAAAACTATATTTTTAGTTGTCAAAGGACCTTTATTTTATTTATTTATATGTGGTGCTGAGAACTGAACCCAGTACCTCATATACATGCTAGACAAGTGCTCTTCCACTGAGCTACAACACAAGCCCTCAATATTCCTTTTAGTAGATGGACACAGTACCTTTATTTTATTTTTATGTGGTGCTGGGGATCAAACCCAGTGCCTCACATGTGATAGGCAAGCACTCTACCAACTGAGCTACAGCCCCAGTCCCTCAGTATTCCTTTTTATCACTAAAATTTCATTGAACAGATAAAACATTTTGTTTATTCATCAGATGATGAACATTTGGGCTCTTTCTGCTTTTCAAATGGAATTTTAATGAATTTTATATATATGATTATCCATGTAGAAGTTTTTATGTGAACATTTGTTTTTAGCTCTTTGGGGCAGATACCTTGGAGTGAAATTGGATCATTCGATAACTTTAAAATTTTTTCAAGAAACTACCAAACTGTTTCATAAAAACTATTGGAGAATTTTACATTTCCACCAACAATGTGTAATATCTAAGCAACTACCGTGGTAGTTCATTGTGATTTTGATGTGTTTCTGTGCTGACTAAAGATTTTGAGCCTGATTTTTAAAAGAAAAGCCGCACTTTGATTTCATTGAGAATATAAAAATGGAAATGTTGGTAATTTCATATTATTGCTTGGAAACAATTAGTTTTGCAGTATTTAAAATTCTTTTTTTTTTTTTTTCCATCAGTTGTATTCCTTGAATGACTACAAACCACCCATTTCTAAAGCAAAAATGACCCAGATTACAAAGGCGGCCATCAAAGCTATTAAGGTGAGTAATAAATTTTACTCTTATGTTTTCAAAAGAAAATGCCACCCTAGTATTTTGAAGGAGAAATAATTTTTATATATTTTCTCATGTAAAGAATTAATATATGTTTAGTGTGTAAAAGAAAAAAAGTGTATTGTAAACCCTCCCTCATAAACACTTAACATTTTGATATTTATCCTTCCATAAGCTTTGAAGTAAATATTTTTCCTTTTCTTAGTCTGGTGATATTTTGGACATTAGCCGCATCATGGAGATTTTAAATTGTCATTTGTCACACCGACATTGCAGAATCTTAAATACAAATTAGTAGAAGACTTCTAAATGAAAATAACACCTTATTGATTCTGTATAGATTTAAAAATGGACCACCGTGGAAAATAATTAGGCCTTGTTGTACATAAGATACTTGAACTATGGAAAGGGAACACAGAGACAGGTTTTGGATAGGTTTTGAACCTGTGTTCAGGAAAAACATGTGTATTTCTCTAGAACATAGATATAAATTAAAAAAAAAATATATAAAATTTCTTGGCTAAAGGACCTTTAAAGCTCAACCACAGACATCTTTCCAAGAAGTTCTTGTCCCCACAGCTAAGATTCCGTGCTTTATTTAGGAGGGCTGAATGCCTGTTTTTAATTAAGTAGATATTAACCTGTGAATATTTTGTGAATGTTTTCCTAGTATGAATTGAAACATCATCCATTATTAGAAGTACCAACTATATAAATTATCTTCTGATAACTGTATATAACATTTAACAAATTTCTATTTACTAATAGTTGCTACTGAGATAAATTCAGATAATTGGTTGATTTTGCAGTTTTCTTATAGGTAAAACTTAGTTTTCAGATTTGTAGTTAGTATCTTAAACATCATTATAGTTAAAATCTCTATACTTAAATAGGGAAAATCAAAGACAGGATAAGGACAGTTACCACATTTTTCAAGGAAGTAATTTGCCCTGCTCCCATCTGATAGGCTTAGTATATAAAACAAATTGAGTCTCTTGCACTTTATCTATACTATTCTCTATTATAATGATTTTTACGATCACAATTCTGTGAATATGTAAACGTGTATTGTCATTTTTATTCTGTAAAAATTAGAAGTTGGTGTATTTATGTAACTTTCCCGAGCAGAATACCTTTTTTTTTTTTTTTAAATAAAGGTCCATCAACAATTTTCTTTTTTAGAGAGAGAGAGAATTTTTTTTTAAATTTATTTTTTAGTTTTTCGGCGGATACAACATCTTTGTTTGTATGTGGTGCTGAGGCTCGAACCCGGGCCGCACGCATGCCAGGCGAGCGCGCTACCACTTGAGCCACATCCCCAGCCCCAGAATACTTTTTTAATTAAAGGATTCAGTTAAGTATGGGTGCTAACCTTATTTTCTATTTTCTGATGTCAGAAAGATATAAGAAATTAAGTAATTTGCTGAAATTTGAATCTAGGTGTCTGTCAATCAGGAGTCTCTTTGTTTTTATGAACAGTGTACTAATTTGTGCCAATGATTTTAATTTTGAAAAATTTTAACAAGTTGGAAAATATTGCAATGAGCATCAAATATTCTTCCTTAAATTCACAATTACTAACATTGGCCACATTTGCATTATTTCTACACATATGCATGTACATACACACTTTTTGTCATTTTTTCTTGTGGATTCGTTTGATAGTTTCAAACTTCATTCATAATAGTGCTTATTAATCTTTATGTACTTGAATTTACATCTCCAAGAACAAAGACATTCTCCTAAGCAACTGCAATATAAGAATCACATGTAAAAAATTTCACTTTGATAAAATACTGGTACCTAATCTACTACATAGTCCATACAAAAAATAGCATTGACTTTAGTTCTCATGTCTTTTTATTCTAAGGAGGTGTCCCTTATAAAACATTATTCATTATTCAGGTTAATTTTTCAAATAGCATTATGCTAACCATGGCATTACCATCGGGGTATTAAAATTTATTAAACGTAAATTCTAGATTCTTTTTTGTTAAATTTATAATTATTTCTAAATTATAATTTATAGTTATAAATATTATTTCTAAATTATAAATTTAGAAATTCTATTTATAGGTTTATGCTTAGTGTTGTGTTTTATAAAAATGTGTTTTCTCATAATTAATAGTATACCATTATTAATTTTTAATCCTTGTGTTTACTTCTATTTTAGTTAATTTTGTATGGTCTATTAGAACATTATACATTTCTACATCTTAAATGTTCCTGAAGTTCATTTTCTGGAAGCAGGAGATAATAAAGTTGAAAACAGCTCTCTCACATGATTTGTTAATATTCTAGGTTGATGGGTAATTGATTTTTCTAGTACTAGCCTTGCTTTAGCTGATAATTATGGATACCTGTTCTTTTCCTTCCTTGAAAGTAATACATCTCCCATTTTATATATCATAATATTTTGCTGTCAACACAAGTTGGTCCAAGTATGCTTTCATAAAGACTTTAATAGGGGGCCAGGGCTGTGGCTTAGCGGTAGAACCCTTGCCTTGCACATGTGGGGCACTGGGTTCAATCCTCAGCACCACATAAAAATGGATAAACAAAATAAAGTTATTGTGTCCATCTACAACTAAAAAAATACATATTTAAAAAAGACTTTAATAGTATTCTTTCATATCTACATTAAATAACACATTTTTGACATGCTGACCATGTATCTACTTAAGAATTACTTAAGAAATTACATAGCACAGCTAGTTGGTTGTAAAAGGTGAGTAGTGTGAATGCTTATCTTGAAGTTTTGATTAAAATTAATTGTTTTGATGGGCTTTTTGAGCCATGTTAAATCCTGTGGTTGGCAGGAAATTCTTTTACTAAAAGTGATTTTAATACTGTACCTTTTTTCTGCCTCTTTCAGTTCTATAAACATGTGGTACAGAGTGTTGAGAAATTCATTCAGAAAGTAAGTATAAGCTTTTAATACATAGACTAAATGTAATGTAATTGTATATTAGTGCCTGTACTCTTCTCCTTTAAATGAAATCCTGAGGTTGTTTTGATAGACTATTAAAAGTGATTCTAGTTATTTTATTTTCTAATTAAGAGAGAAAATGAAAGTGCCTTTTGGATAATTCTAAAATGGTAGCTTTCAGGCAGATATTTTTGCTAAATTTACATTGCCTAAGTGAGTATGCGTTCCTTGAAAATAATTACATCAATATGATTGATTTTTTTTTTTAAATGGAATATAAATCTGTTGTTTTACATAGCCTTTAAGGAAGTTCTCTCTTGTAGCTCTCTGTTTATATTAAGTATGGATAAAATATTGTCTTGGATGTTTTTCTTCTGCTGATCACTTTATTTGATCCATTAGGATGTTAAAAATTGCTACATGTTATTATATATACCCGCAGTTCCATTTTCCAGGAGAAGCAGAGGAGATAAAGTTGAAAACATCTGTCTTGCATACATTTAGTAATGTTTTTGTAACCAGAGTCTGAGACAGTTGTAGTTCTTGAGTGCACCTGTTTGTGATCATTACTCTGTTGATGCCAGAGTTTCTGGCAGAGGTACTTAAGACTTAATTCCTTATAAGATGATACTACAGGAAATCAGTACTTTCCTGATTTGTGTTTAGGATTATTTTCTGTCTATATTCATGTGTCTAGGTATAAGCAGAGGCAGTTTGAGAATCAGAAGTATATGGCATTAAGGATTTAGCAAGGTTGCAGTTTCACAAAAATAGTTGACTGAGAGAAGAGTGCAGGAATCAAGGTGAGATTTGTGTCAGTCAACTAGGTAGCCTTGAGTAACTCAACCTGTATTTGATTCAAGCCTTTTCTCTTTTTTCAAGTGTTATTTTCTCAATACTTAAGGTATTGATTAAATATATATGGGGATTAATTAACTTAAATAATTTGAAGATAAAACGTGAGTAAAATAACATTGCTTTTTTAGGTAAATTAAGCTAAAAAATAAAAATGCTACTGATTGAAAGATTTATCAGTCCAAAGCAAGTCTTTAAAGTCTTTTATCTAAAGCAGTGCCTCTTAAGCTTTACTGTGTGTAGGATTTAGTAGGGATCTTGATACAATGGAGGTTCTGTTTCACTGAGTGTATGGCGCAACCTAAGAGTCTTCATTTCTATCAGTTCTATATAATGTCTTTGCTGTTTATACAGAAGTCAGAATTTGAGTGGTATAGAATTTAAAGGATAAATGTGAATTTGTGGAAAATTGTTTGTTGACTGATTTGGTTTGGGTTAGAGGTAGTTCTAATAAGATATTTCAGAATCATATGAAGACCTGTAGTGATCAAAGTTATTCCATTGTTAAGTAATTTATTATCCATCAGAAGAAGCAAGTCAATATTTGTTTCCTCTTCTCTGTAATTTTGCATTTCAAGAACAGTTTAAGTGGAATCTTATAGTATGTAGCCTTTTGAGTTAGGCATGTTGTACTCAACATAATTCTTTTGAGATCTAGGGAAGTAACTGCATGTATCAAATAGTTTCTTACATTTTTATTTCTGGGTAGTGTTCCATTATATGGATGCACCACAGTTTTAACAATTCACTTATTGAAGATCAGCTGGGTTGTTTCCAGCTTTTGACTATTATGTATAAAACTGCTAGGAACATTCATATATAATTTTTGGTGAATTTTTTTCATTTCTCTGGGATAGGAAGTCATGTTTTCATTTTGTAAGAAACTCTCAAAATTGTCTTCTAGGATGGCAGTATCATTTTATATTCCTATCATGTGTTATAATAAAAATAATGCAGGTAAGGGAGAGGCATGCTTCTAGCTTTATATTGTGTTAACTATCATTTCATGTTTTGGTCATGAGAGATTTATAATTGGAGTAATGAATGATGGTGATAAATGAAAAATTAACAATAAAGATGACTTCCTATGAGCTAGAAAAACTGAAAGAATATTCTGGTCTCTGGTCTTTGTCTTAATGAATTTTGCCAAATATCATGGTGTGTTCCGATTTTGTCAAACTTTCATGAGGCAGAAGCAAAGGCCAAAAATACCAAACTCAGACAAATTTTAGAATAGTTATTTGCATTATAAATAACTGAGTTCATTATTCTGAATGATAAAGAAAATATATTTTATTTGGATTTAGAAAACGTACTATTTGCTGACTTTTCTACCATCTATTTGCTACCATTCTGTTTGCTAGCTTGATATGCATGAGCTAAATGTTCAGCTATGTTCCTAAAATATGTAGACTTTAGCCAACTCCTTTTAAATCTTCCTTTGTACATGAGTACTACAAATGAATTTGTCCACTAAATTCAGAATGAGATTAAATGTCATTACTCAGAACTGTTTCTTTTGTTACAATCTGGATACTATGTTTCAGTCATATACTTAGATGGTATGTGGCTTCTCTTCAATACCACAGGTCAGCAAAACATTTTATCTTTTTAGTTTCTAATAATAGTCCCTGTATGAACCACCATTATCATTATTTATAAGTTTTTGACTGTGATTAACCTTCAGATTTCTTACTTCATTGTTAGATCAGTGAGAGTAGGGAATGTGGTTTGATCTTGTAACACACATTTACTTAGTGAATAATATATGAAAATATTGTGTTAAACACTTTAGGCATTACATAATGAAAGATTTTGATCTGGTAGTTTCATGCCCATTATTTGATTCTTTGTAATGGATATAAATTTTTTTAGATGAAGCCAAAACAGTTTATCATCTTTTGGTATATTTATTTTTCTGCCCAGTGATATTTCCCCAGAGGAAGGGTAGAGTCCACATTGAAAGGTAGTTACATTTATTTAACCTTTTTTGTTTTGTTTCATGTAGGGTGCAGTGTTCTGTAATGGGTGGACTTTTATCATGGGTATTGCCTTACCCTTGGGATAGTGCACATAAAGATTTGGGCTTTGGGGCACAAATAGTTTAAAAGGAGCAGACTTCCATATTCTTACTTTGCATATGCGCTTTTTATTAAAATTTCTTTGCCCTGGGGTATTTTAGATGAGTTCTAAGTCTCTCAATCTGTAAGTTGCATTTCAAATATATCTTGACCTGCCCTCCTGGGTCATCACAATATGAGAAACTTGGGCTTGTTGTGTGTGTGTTTTTAAGAAACCACGGATGTTTTATATAATTTGTGTTGTGCAGTACACAAACACGCACACACATACACACAGAAGTGCAGAAAAACAACATATATAGCTGGATTTTTCCAAAGAGAAAACCTGTGTAATTCCTACTCATTTGAAATCAAACTGTGATTAATGTGCCTACCACCCTAAGTGCCTCTTCTTGATCACATCCTCTACCCAAGTAACCATAGTCAGACTCTTATGTTAGTCACATCTTTGCTTGGTGTTATAGTTTTATTTAAAATAAGTGCAATTTTTTTTCAGTTTTTGTGATCAAACCCTCATATATAAGACCTTATATATTTAATACTGTGTGTTACCCCTGTATATGTGAGAAAAAAATTGTTTTACTTTTTCTAGACCAGTGTGGCTATTAATTTCTCTACCATACCTACCCTACATGGTGAACTGGGAAACTGTCCAAAGTTGATATCAGAACTTAAGTTTCTAAAAATCCAAATTCATACATGTGCACATGTCATGTGCGCACACAACTTAGGTTCTTCAGTTATCTGGACAAAATCATAGAGACATTCAGCCCACTCCATTAATAAAAAGACCCCAAATCACCACCACCCCTGCCCTGAAAATAGAGTTTCCTTACTGTTGTACCTGGAACCAGTTTTTAAAGTTTCTCAGTTGTCATCAGGAATCTAGAATATTATCATTAAAAATAGCTCTGATAAAGCATGGTTGCTACTTCATATCTTAATGCAAATTCAAGATATTTTATATTCATAGACTTGTGATATAATACTGTCTTAAGTGTAACTATCAATTCTTAAAAGTGATTTAATGTAGTTTTTAATTTCACATAATGGAATTCTTTGTTCATTATATGTTTAGGATTTTTGCATGTTTTGTATAGTAAGATTTTTGGGGGGATGGGGTACTGGGGAACTCAGGGACACTCAACCACTGAGTCACGTTCCCAGACCTGTTTTGTATTTTATTTAGAGACAGGGTCTCACTGAGTTGTTATTGAATTTGCAGTCCTCCTGCCTCAGCCTCCCAAGTTGCTGGGATTACAGGCGTGTGCCACCATGCCTGGCTATTTAGCAATATTAGTTACTGCTCATTGTTGTATATATTACATTTTACAAATAAGCTTTAGCTTGCCCATTCTACTGTTTACAGACACGGGAGGCAGTGTGTGTGTGGGTGTGACTTTTCTACTTTTTGATATTCTGAAAGTACTGCTGGGAATATTCTTATATATGCATTTTAGTTCATGTTATATTTGTGTAGGAGTGGAATTGCTGTGCTATGGGATATGCATTTCTTCTACTTTGCTGTATAATGCTTAATTAGTTTCATAATGGTTATACTAATTTATACTCCCACTAGCAATCTGTGAGATTGTGTGTGTGCCCCCCCCCCCCGTCTTTGACAATTCTTGGTATTATTATACTTAAATTTTCTAATCTAGTGAGGTTATTTTCAAAGGACATTAATAAATTACCTTCACAAAAGGAATTAAATTTCAGTCAGCTTTAAAACTGTTTTTTAAGTGTGGTGGTGCATGCCTGTAATCCTAGCAACTGAGGGAGGCTAACAAAGGGGGATCATAAATTGGAGGTCAGCTTCAGTAACTTAGGGAGGTCCTGCCTTAAAATAAATAAATAAACAAACAAACAAATAAATAGGGCTGGAGATATAGCTCATTAGTAGAATGCTCCTGGGAAACAACAACAAAACTTGTTTTTAGACTCCTAAGGACTCATCAGAATGAATTCCTATGACTAAAGAGTAAAACATACCCTAGTATGTTTAAAATGTTAGGTTGTTTTCTGATTACTATTACTTTTCTTCAAATTAAATGT